GCCCTCTCGGACGACGTCCAGAGCTGCGCACCGCGGCCTTGCCCTCCGCGTGGGGTCCTGCTCGTCGTTGCAGCCTGCCAAGTCGAAAGTGCCTCCGTGTGGGGACCAGCAGTTGAGGCCCGGGGCTGGGCACGATGCAAGGCTGCAGGAGCCTGCTCCCCCATCCCCCTGGGTTTCTGAGAACGGCCCCCAGGCCCCCTGCTTGAAGCTGGCATTTTGAACTGGCTCCCTCGTTTTTTTGTTTTGTTTTTTGCACACCCAAGTCTGAGCGGATGCCTTTCCCTTGGTGACCACATCTCCACAGTCCCCTCCCTGGGAACTGGACTTGTCTGGAGGATTGGAGCGGGGCGGGGTAGTGGCAGGAGAAGACCATCTGTTTACAGCTGAGATTTCCTGTTTTTCTTGACTGAGCTCGCTGCAGGTGCCTGATAAAATAGCTCTAAGGGAGGAGCAGAGCAGGGGCAAAGGGTGGGACCCCCGCAGCCAACCCCACACATTCCTTTCAGCCAGGCTCTGAGATTCCATGCGTGCGCCACCGCACCAGGCCATTGCCTGGCTTTTAACCTGAACTCCTGGGATGGGGCAGATGCTAGATGGGTGTTCTTTGGTGACTATCTGTGACCTCAGGCTGTCGGTCACCATGCCTGGTGGAATCTTGTCCCATTGATCTCAGCCAAAGCCAAGGGGGATTGTTTCCTTTTCTATTTTTTCTATTTAATCTCCTCTTCAGGTTAAGTATCCTTTATCCAAAATGCTTGGGAGAAGAAATATTTATGATTTTGGACTTTTTTTCAGATTTTGGAATATTTGCAAATACCTAATAAGATATCTTTGGAATAGGACTTAAGTCTAAATACAAAATTCATTTTTGGTGTGCAGTAAGAGTTGCATAATAGTAGACATTGCTGTTATTGTTTAAAACTTTGGAACCAGTCAGAACTGGTCTCAGTGTGGCTTCAACTCTTCATGGCTGGTGAGTCTGAGCAAATGACTTAGTGTGGCCATCGTGTTGCTGTTGAAGAAGCTGGCCTGGCTCATAGTTGGTTCAGCATTTTTTTTTTTTTTAATAATTTAACAACTGGAAAATAGAGAAGGGGTGAGTGGTAAGAGCAGCCAGTATGTTTGCAGCTCAGGAGTGACAGCAAAAGACTTCTTGGCCAGCTCCTGCAGTGGGACCTGGAAAATGTCAGGTTTGGAGGGGGCCAGGAATGATGCAAAGTGTGTCCCCTTTGTACTCACCAGACTGTGGCTGAGAGTCTAGAGCAGGCACAAGGGTATTGACCGGGCACCAGTAGTACAACCAGTAATTCTAGTGAACAGTAATGATAACGCAACAATAACCATTGCTAACACTGGTTTAGATGCACGTAGTACTAAGGGGACACTGGGTGATATGATGGTGTGACCCCGAGAGTGCAGAGGCTTAACACAATAGAAACTTATTTCTCACTCATGAAAAATCCTGTGGGGTGTTTGGAAGGTGCTTTTCTATGTGGTGAGCTAGGGACCAGATCCTGTCTATCTTGTCATCCCAGTGTCCCCTCTGACCTTGAAGTCATTTCCTTCCAGTTGGCGGACAAGGAAGGAGAGAAATGATTCCTCTGGGGATACTCTTACGGGCTGAGTCTAAAGCGACACACATTCTTTCTGTCTTTATTTGCCAGAACCTGACCACATGGCCAGATCTGACTGTAAGGGAGTCCAAGAAACATCTGCTAGCCATATTCCAAGAGAGTTGGAAATGAATTTTAGTAACCCATAGAAGTTTCTGCCAAAGCATATCCAAGCACACAACTAAGCCTAGCACATCTTATTTAATTCTCATAATGTTTCCATCAGGCACTAATTATCCAGTTTTACAGATGAGGAAACTAAGGCTCAGAGAAATGAAGTCACTGGGCTCAGGGTCATGCAGCTGATGAGGAGACAAAGCCAACACGGTAGTCAAGGCGTTCAGGTGCCGTCTTAGTCCATTTCTGTTGCTATAACAAAATATCTGAGCCTGGGAAATTTATAAAGGAAAGGAGTTTATTTAGCTCACGTTCTGGAGGCTGGAAGTCCAGCACTGGGCAGCCACATCTGGCAATGACCTTGTTCTGTGTCATGATATGGAGGAAGGGCAGGTGTAGAGGAGAGGGAGGAGGACCAGGCTGCTTCACAACAGCCCACTACCCAGAGAGACATTAATCCCTCTTGACCTAATCCCCTCTTAAAAGTTCTCCCCCACCTCTCAACACTTGAACTGGGGACCAAAGTTCAGTGTGAGTTTTGGAGGGGACAAGCCACATAGGAACCACAACAGACACTGGAGCTGTAGCATTCAGATTTCCAGGAATTTAGTCATTTATTGGAGAACAAGATGCAGCTGTGGAAGTCAGGGAGGTGCAGATCCCCACACGGTTTAGCTATGATTTCTTGGGATCCCAGAACCCAGAAGGGCTCTTACAGTGGAGCCCCGGGTTGATGCCACCCAGTATCCAGTCCCTGGCATCTTGTTCCCTTCCCCCCACATCTGGCCTGCTTGGCATAGCACGTCTATGGCACTTACCTTGGCCGGATTGGGCCCTGGTTCCTAGTTGTCCTCTTGCAGGTCAGAATCCATAGTTGGGCATGAGGGGTCCAGTCTGGATCCATTTGCATTTATGTAGCACCTGCTGTCTTCCTGGATCTGCCATAGAGGTGACAGAGCCTTGAAAAGCAGGTGGCCCTGGCCTTGCCCTCCAGGCACCCATTGGGAACTGCTTGGCCTCAGGGGGCTGAGCTTTGGGCTTCCTACTTCCCTGCAGCGAGTTACCTTGAATAGGTCAGAACCCACCTCCCTGAGGTCAGTTTCCTCATATGGAAATGGGTTGAAGTGAAGACTAAATAAGATAATTTATCCCCTCGAACAAAGGACACCAAGAGGTAGCAAAAGCCCAGACACAGGACACTAAGGAAGATAGGAACTGTGGTTGCCATTTATAACCATTCACTGCCTGCCAGGTGTGCTTCTTCTACCCTTCAACTCAATTCTCACGATTATCTTATGTGGTCGGTTCTGTTGTTCCCATTTTAGTGATGAGAAGAGTGAGGCTCAGAGAGATAACTTTTCCAAGGTCATACTATCAACTGTCATACTGTCAGAGACAGGTGTCAGATGTGTCCCCAGGACAGATTCTGCCTCCAGAGCAGTGGGCCTAACCACTGTACCATATGGCCTTCTTGCTGCAGGGAGGGTGCAGTGGGAGGGGATGGGTGGACTCCTGGGCTCCACAACCCTCGTGTCCTGCCCCCCTGCTCTCCCCACAGGGACTGTACATCTAGGATTTTCAAGTGACTGAAATCAGTGTTTGTTGCTAAGTGAACCTGGTGTTGTGTGTTTAATCCCCAGGTGATTCCTCCATACCAGCATTCTCTGCATTTTACACTTGAGGACACTGAGGCTCAGAGAGACAAAGAAGTTTGCTCTGGGGCACACAGTGCAGCGGGAGTGAAGGACTCAGTCCCTGCCTGGGCTGAGCGATGCCACAGTGCTCTTTGCCCGGTACCTGTTTTGAAGAAACATCATTCCAGAGCCCCGTGGATACATTTGTCGCAAGCCGCGGGAGCTCTGTTCTGGGTCAGCAACGAGGATCGGGACTCTGGCCTTTCCCGCCTTCAGGCTGCTATCCCCACCTCCTGGGCTTGGAGGGCTCTAGGACCGGGGGGAAGGTGGGAGGTTCTTACCTCCAGGTCCCGCCCTCCCCTCCTTCCCTCTACAGTGCCCCTTCGGTCCTCCAGTCTCCAGTCCTCTCTCCCCTCTCTCCTCCCTCCGGCTCTGCGCCCAGCTGTCCCCACTTCCCGGTCCTCCTGGGCAGCTGTAGCTCTCCCTCCTCTCCTTTCCCATCCTCTGCTCCCCAGCTCCGCCCCGCTCCTCCCACTGCCCGGTCACGTGGGGGCGCCGCCGGATTTAAGCTTAATCTGCCTGGTGCTCAGCTCAGCGGCCTGGGCTAGGGGTGTCCAGAGGTGGGCAGCTAAGTTAGTCTTGGGGCCCTGGAGAAGGGGACGGGGAAGTGCCCAGAGCCTCTTCCCCCATGAGCTTGGGGCTGGTGGGGTCGCTGGAGGCCCAGCTGGCACTGGAGACGGTAATCCAGGTGGGTGCTGGGGCTGTGCCCACCCTGTCCAGGGAGGGGAGCAGGGCCTATGTGTGGTAAGAGGTGAGTGCATCCTGGGGGCCAAAGGGAGGGAGAGGTGTGGTGGTGATGGCGGGTACACAGCCCCAGCTCACAGATCCTGGCAAGTCTGAGGATTTAAGGGCACCCAGGTGGCAGGAGGAAGGGGATCCCTACTCCTAGATTTTAGGGTCTGGTTGACCTCTGACACAGAAGGACCTTCACCCATCCAGGGTCAGCTGGATTGAGCTCCTCACGCTGATGTCCCGCTGGGGCTGAGTCCTCACTGTGTGATTTGTTCTCTTCTCCCACCCTTGGGCAGGGGCCTCCCTCCAGGGCCAGGCCACATGACCACCTTTCTGACTCCTAGGCTTCGCTCTGGTTTCCTGGACACTTGTGTTTTGGACCACAGGACTTTGTTATCCTCTCCCCTCAGGCCAGGAATTCGGGGTCCCAGGTCCCTGAAGACCCTCTCTGTTTCCCCACAGACACTGGAGAGAAGTGTCCTGGGACCCAGGCAGGAGAAGAGCCCGAGCGTGCAGGACCCTGCCCAGGACTCTCAGCACACCAGCCTGCCGGCTTGCATCAGGGAGATTGTCACCCGCAACCTCTCCCAGCCTGAGAGCCCAGGTACCATGGCCCGCCAGGGACCCTGCCCACAGGTCACCTGTTCTCCCACCCCTCCTCTGTAGTCAGGATCATAGCATCCATTTCTCCAACACTCACTCTGAGGGAAGTGCAAGACTTTGAGGGAAGGGCCCATTTCACAGAGGAGGAAATGGAGCCTGGGAGGTGTGGTTTGCCTACGTAGGCTTATGTGTTCCCCATTGGATGCATCTAGAAGGGAAGGGCCCTTCCCCAAGCTGTTGTGAAGACTCCACCCCAACATCTCAGTCCCTCTCAGGGAAGGAGTGAGCTGGCGGAACCTGAGATCACAGGGCCGCCCCTCAGCTCCACCCGGACTTTGCAGAGGTCTGATGGCACCTGCTCTTCCTAGTGGGCAGCTTGCAGGGACCTTTTATGTGGCCTGAACATCTAGGAATGACACACATGGGGCAGCTATGAGTTGGCAGCTGTGCTGGGGGTGTTTGGGGTCCTCCTGCCGTGGTTCCTGTTCAGCTGCCAGGTTGGGGACGGGACCTCTCCTTGGGAGGACCAGGGATGTGGGGACCCTGGAGCCCCAGACTGGGGGAACTCGCCCTCACCCCAAGCTGGAGGAACAGCTGTTTGAGGCCCAGGGTCAAAGGGCAGCCCACAAGAGGAGGACAATCCTGCCCCCCCCACCTTTCTTTTCCTCCACACTCTTCCTCCTCCTCCTCCCAACCTGACCTACACTAGCTCGAGCCTTAGGAGTTATGTGAACCCCTGCTTGAGTGAGGCTTTTCTGTTTTTCTGGCATGGCCTGGTACTCTCCCACCCACTTTATGGATGAGCAAGTGACACCCTGAGAAGAATAGTAATTGGAAAAGGAATCAAGAACTCAGAAGCTGGGCATGGTGGCCCACACCTATAATCCCAGTGACTCAGGAGGCTGAGGCAAGAAGATCACAAATTTGAGGCTTGCCTCAACTATTTAGTGCAGATCTGAGCAACTTAGTGAGGCCATGTCTCAAAATGAAAAAGGGCTGAGGCTGTAGCTCAGTGTTAAAAAGTGCCTGGGTTCAATTCCAGTAGTCAAAAAAAAGAACTCGAGGCTTTGCTGGGTTTGTGGCACAGGCCTGTAATCCCTGCAATTTGGGAGGCTGAGGCAGGAGGATCACCTATTCAAGACCAGCCTTACCAACGTAACAAGATCCAGTCTCAAAATGAGAAAATAAAAAGGGTTGGGGGTGGAGCTCTGGTAAAGTGCCCCTGTGCTGCGAAACAAACAAAAGATCACCTCGGGGCTTCACTCAGTGAGGACTCCCCTCAATCCCAGACTGAGCCCGGCTCCTGCCCTTCCTGGGTCTTGAGGACCACACCTAGCTGAGGGTGAGTCTAGATTTAGCCCCTGTCCTGGTCCTCCGCCTGCCTGGTCCTCAGGCCTGGAGCTGCAGCCACTCCCACCCAGGGTCCTCCCTGGGACCTGGTTGACCCTTCTGCCCCTGGGGATAGGTGGGGCATCTGTCCCACTAGACCAGGCAGAGCCAACCACATGCCCTCCGTCCCTTCCAGCCCTGCCACCGGCCCCAGAGATGGCGTCACTGCTGTCCCTGCAGGAGGAAAACCAGCTGCTGCAGCAGGAGCTGTCCCGCGTGGAGGACCTCCTGGCCCAGAGCTGCGCCGAGCGCGACGAGCTTGCCATCAAGTACAGCGCGGCCAGCGAGAGGGTGGGTGCTGCCGGGGCGGGCCAGAGCAGGGAGAGGCCAGGCCAGGATCACTTGGGAGCAGGTGGGCCCTGGATCAAGCCAGCCTGGCAGCAGATTGTGGCTCTGTGGCTGGAATGGCCCTGAGCCGTGGCTCCACTCTCCCTGTTTGCTGTGGGGGTGGGAGGGTGACATAGCTGCTGTGCAGGACCCGTGGGGACATGGAACAAGGGGTGTTTCAGTCCCATCTGTCCTAGGCCTGTTGAGTGTCAGGCACAGAGAACGAGACCCCTAGGGGCCCTTCAACCCCTCAAGGCTCTGGACATCTCCCCAGGCTCCCGTTCCATGGCACCGGGGTTGAGGCAGTGGCTGGCTGCTGGGTCGGGTGGCACAGGCACCCAAAAAATTCTGTGGGCTGGTTGGGGACAGCCACAAGACCTACCACTGCTCCCCGGGGTTGAGGCCTGGGCAGGGAAGGAGGAAGCCAGGCCTGTCTGCATGTCCATCACCAGGCACCTGTGCTGTGGCTTGTGAGGGGCTGGGGGAGGTAGGTGAGGGCCAGGGGCAGGGTGCACCTGGCACACTGCCTGTTGAACCCCCAGGCTCATGGCAGGCGGCCCTGGGGAGTTGGTGGTGACAGAAGGTTGGTGAGCGTTGCATGAGGGATGGAGTGTGTGTGGACAGAGGGATGGAGGTGGGAGGTTGTGGGCAGTAGTCACAGCTGTAACAGTAGCTCCCATTTATTGAGTGCCTACTATGTGCCAGTAACTTGCAAAGTACTTACGTTTAATGAACTACTGTCAGAATCATGCTGCCCATTTAACAGAAGAGAAGATGGAGACTCAGAGGGAAAGCACCATACGAGGGCTGCACAGCCAGTTAAGACAAGAAGCAGGTCTCCCCCCTGCCAGCTGCCAGCCAGGGATCCTGGGGATGAAGAATCTGGAAGGAACCCAGAGGGGCAGGACTCCCTCTTTGTTAGCAGAAGGGCCAGGGTTGGCCTGGGACCCCTAGGCTGGGCCTGTCTGTACAGAGGTCTGCACGCCGTGCTGGAGAGGTGTGTGTGTTTCTGTGTGTAGTCAGGGGATGATCCTGTGTCCTGGTAGCTGCCCGCCTGGACAAGCCCCCAATTTGTTGGGACTTGCTGAGGAGCAGCGTGGGGGGCCAAAGCGGCCCCTAGTTTTGGGGACAGCACAGAACACATTTTCCCAGGGACTGCAGGGTGTGTGTAGGGCAGGCTGGCTGGGTCCCACATTGTCAATGGTGACAGCTCCTGGCACAGGGCCAGGCCCCCAGGGGCTGCCTTCTAAATGCCAACTTCCAAATGACAGTGAAGCCAGCCCTGTCCCTGGCTGGCAGAAGAATGTCGAGGTGCAAGTTGGCAGGTCCCTTCCCTGCTGGGACACAGCTGCTGAGACTGGGGCTGCGGCACCAGGTGGGGGCCTAAGGTAGTCTAGACAGTTCCCTCTCGCATCCTGGGTGGGTGTTTCTGAACAACCTGCAGGGGGAGCCTGGCATTGTGACTCTCCTGTGTGTGAGGCAGTTTGAGGCCCATCTGGGGCCTGGGACTGGGTTAGAAGGATTTTTGAGGCCTTTCCTTTTTTTTTTTAAACATGCAGGAACAGCTTTAATAATTCGCTTTTAGAGATAGCAGGAGGATCCCAAATTACTGAAGCAGCTGTAACATTTTTTTTTAAGAGAGAGAGAGAGGATTTATTAATATATTTTTTTTTAGTTTTCGGCAAACACAACATCTTTGTTTGTATGTGGTGCTGAGGATCGAACCCAGGCCGCACGCATGCCAGGCGAGCGCGCCACCGCTTGAGCCACATCCCCAGCCCCTTTCGAGGCTTTTCCTAATGGGGGTCCTCAGAGAGCATCTGCCGGCAGTCACCTGTTACAAAGGGGGAAACTGAGGCCTGGAGGGGGCGTGGTGGGCCCAGGGTAGGAGTCCCTTGGTCATGGGTAGCCTTCCCCTGAAGCTCACTTGTCCTTGTGCCGATGGGTGGCAGCGCATGCCATGACCCGGTTGGGGGCCATCAGGAAGGTTGTTCTGATCATTCATTCCATGATGGTCCTGGGATGGGGAGTGAGGGGGCTCACATCCTATGAACTGCATGTTAGGCAGGGGCTTCCCAGAGGCTACCTCCCAGGTCAAAGAGAGGACTCACAGTCCCTAAGGAGCAGGTGTAGGGGAAGGAGGGAGGTGGCCTCACCCCTTGGATCCAGAGCATACCCCCCACCTCTCTTAGTGTCCATGGCAACATGGACAGAGTGAATTGAATGGTGGCATTAGGGCCCCAGTTGCTAGGGGACACAGTAAACTTCTTTGATCCCTGGCCTGGTGGCAGCCACCTTCCTTTCTGAATTGCAAGTAAAATTGAAAAGCTGTTTTGTTAGGGGCAGGGTTTGTGGAGAGGGTGGAGGTGTGACCAGGAGTGGCCTGGCTGTGAGCACTGGGGAAGCGGGCCGCCCCTGGCACTATGGAACCCTCCAGATCACAGAAGCGAATAGCGCTGGGGGCACGCGGGTGCAGAGCACACAGTCAGACCCCACAGAGATGGACACACTCGGGTTCACGGTGCACATGCTGTAACCAACAGCCATTGCCACTGCCACAGCTAGGCCTCACACCTGCCCTCAGGAGAGTCATCCCAATACACAGTGTCACCACCGTCATGTGTCCATAATGCAGGTGGCACAGCACACATCTCACATCTCACAGATACACAAGACACAAAAAGCATGGGGCACAAAACAGCCATCTGCCAGTCAGCCCCACGAAGGCACACACAGACCTCAGAGACATGTAGCACTCAGACCCTCCCAGGCCCCACTGAGAGCCATGCCCAGGCCCCCCGACACCCAGATGACTGTAAACTCACACCCAATACACGTAGACATGGGGCCCGCGCCATGATGTAGACCACAGAGGCCACCTCGCCCAGGTGCGTGTGAAGGCCTGGACTCACCAGAGTGTCAACATGTCCCCAGCACACGTGAAAACACATGGCTAAATCCATCCCACTCCCAGCCAGCGGGCTGTAAGCTTGGCTCAGGATGCTCACGCCTTTCGGGGCTACCTCCATCACGTACAGCTGGGGCACCTGCACAGCACCCGACTTGGGTGGACTCCACACAGACACTTGCCACAGGTCTACAGCCCTGTCCAGGCAGAGCCCCCACTGCCACCCCTCAGTCCCCTTAGCCAGCATTCCTCCCTCTCACGGCGAGGCCTCCGCCTTCCCCCAGCATCCCTGGGGTGGAGTGGGTGACATGAAGTTGTCCTTGGCTTTGTGGGTGGCACACAGAGCCCTCCTGCGGGCTTCCTTGTGACCAATGTGGCTCCACCTGCATGGGCATCAGTGCCCTGCTGGGCTCTAGCAGACCAGGTGCAGGGGAAGTGGGTGGTGTCCTCAGTCAGCTGGGCTTGTCCCCATTGTTGTCCTCAGGCCCCCTGTGTGCTCACCGCCCTGCAGAATCCATTCCCCTCAGCTCCCTCCTCCCTCACATCCTTCCTTCTAAAGCCAGTGCCTTAGGGTGTTGAGAGGGTCCCATGGTAGTGTGGTGGCCAGAGCTGGAGGGCATCGTGCACTGCCCACAGGGGGTACAGGGCAGCAGCAGCAGAGGCCCCCTGTAAGGGGGCATGAAAGGGAGAGAAGCAGGCTCTAGATAGGATGATGTCACAGAGCACCATGTGTATTGGGGGGCTCACTGTGTCACCCTGGGGACATCTGAGAATGCCTGTGTGTGTTACATGTCTGTAAGCCTGGGCTCTGCAGTGTGGACCTGTGCCTGCCCCTTGGGTGGATTCACATGTGCTCGTGCCATTCATGCCACTCCAACACCAACGGGAACAAAAAAATTAAGAAAAGATATAATGGGGAACAAACATCCAGGTTTTTCTGAGTTTACCTTCAGGTCCAGGTGGGGGTGAGGCCGATCTAATCAGCACAGCAGGGTGAAGCGTTCTGGAGAGGCTGGGCTGCTATGGCACCCCCCCACCCCGCATTACTGTTGCATGCACCTGGTTGTGGGTGGCTAACTTGTATGTGCCTGTGTGTGCCCTGTCTGTGTGTCTGCATGCCTTGTCTGTCCATGCACAGCTGCATTAGCCTGTGCATACATGCACTGCATTTGGGCTTGCCCACATGCGCCTGCTCCCTGGGGCGCCAGGCTATGGACTTACAAGGCATTGTGGTCCGGGCCCATCCTGGCAGCCCCTGCAGAGGCCTGTGCCTGCCTTCCCTAGGGGCCCAGGCCTCTCACCCAGGGCCCTTCCCTGCAGCTGGAGCAGGCTATGCGGCTGGAATCTGGGGAGCTGGAGCCACAGGAGCCCCCGGGGCTGGTCCGCCAGAGTGTGGAGCTGCGGAGGCAGCTGCAGGAGGAGCAGGCCTCCTACCGACGCAAGCTGCAGGCCTACCAGGAGGGCCAGCAGAGGCAGGCCCAGCTAGTGCAGCGGCTTCAGGCCAAGGTCAGGGCCACCCACTCCCGCTCTTGCCCTCACTTTCCTCTGCTTTGCCCCTGCTCCTGGAAAACCGTTGCTTCCCATCCATCCCCAGATTCTCCAGTACAAGAAGAGGTGCTCCGAGCTAGAGCAGCAGCTGCTAGAGAGGTCCACAGAGCTGGAGCAGCAGCGGCTGAGGGTGGGTATCAGGGTGGGTGGGTGTAGGCCCTTCCCTCTGCCTGTCCTGTCTGATGCTGCCCCCTCCCACCTAGGACACAGAGCACAGCCAAGACCTGGAGAGTGCCCTTCTCCGCCTGGAGGAGGAGCAGCAGAGGTGAGGTTGTGGTAAGGAGGGCGCAGGGCTGGTGGTGCTGCCCCTGGGTAGGCGAGTGCCCACTGGCCCCTTGTGCCCGGCCCAGGAGTGCCAGCCTGGCCCAGGTGAACGCTATGCTGCGAGAACAGCTGGACCAGGCAGGCTCCGCCAATCAGGCTCTGAGCGAGGACATTCGCAAGGTAACCAGCGACTGGACTCGCAGCTGTAAAGAGCTGGAGCAGCAGGAGGCGGCGTGGAGGCGCGAGGAGGAGGTGCGTGTGGGCAGCCTGGCGCGTGCAGGGCCCTTAAGGAGCGCTGGAATGGGGGGCGCACGGGAATGGGAGCAGAAATGCGGCCCGGCGCAGGTGAGCAGAGGTCATGGTGGTCATAGCAAAGTTGTTTGTTTAGCTTTGTGTTTGGTACCAGGGATTGAACCCAGGGGCGCTTAAGCACCGGCCCTTTTTATATTTTAGAGACCGGGTCTAGCAAAGTTGCTTAGGGCATCACAAAATTGCCGAGGCTGGCTTTGAAATTTTGATCCTCCTGCCTCGGCCTCCGGAGCTGCTGGGATAACGGGAGTTTACATTGATTACACAGGCCGTGTGCATTTTCTTTTACTCCTCATGATAAGGGCGTAGGGACTGCCACCATCCTTACTGAAAGGTTCTGCCTGCTTCCTCCCACGATGGGGGAGGAGCCAGCGCCTCGCCCCGCCCCTCACGCAGCACGTCTTCCCTCCAGTCCTTCAATGCCTACTGCAGCAACGAACACAACCGCCTACTCCTCCTCTGGAGGAAGGTCGTGGGGTTCCGACGGCTGGTCAGCGAGGTGAAGATGGGCACTGAGAGGTAAAGCCCTGCCAGCGGCCTCCTAAATGAGACTCAACTCAGCATACCTACTGTGTGCTGGGCCCTGTAGAGATGTAGAGCAACTGGGGTAACGGCCTATTACCGGCAGTCAACGCTTAACTAGGGATTACCAAGAGCTAGGCTCTCCGAACTTGTTATTTTACCTGATATTTACAGTGTCCTTGTGAGGTAGAAACTATAGTATTTCCCAGTCTACAGATGAGGACTTTAAGGCTCAGAGAGGTTGAGTGACCTTCCCAAGGCCAAACAGCTGTGTCAATTAAGATTTGAAGCTCCTGCTTTAAATCCACTAGAATACTCAATTCTGCTACCAAAACCCTTGCAACATCTAATGGTGAAAAGACAGGCTCCTACAAAAATTCTAGATCAAAGAAGCAAGGGCTCATGGACAGAGACAAAGGGAATGTTCTGGAAGCTCAGAAGGATGAAAGGGTGGAGAAGCCAGAAGGAAGTGGGAGTTGCAAGGAGCCCTGAGGAGTGAGTAGGGTTGGAAGTAGCAGAGCCAGGTGCTTCAGGCAGAGGGAACAGCATGAGCAAAGTCTCTAGGATGGGAGAGAGTGGCTGCTGGTGGGGTTAGAGGAATAGCAGGAATGAAAGGAGAGCCTCACTCGGCAGGGAGCCTGGCCCTGCTTGGTCCTGAGCAGAGGCTATGTCCTTGTTAGCATGGATAGTCAGCTAGAGGCAGTTGGTCAGGCTGTGGGCTGCACCTCCAGCCAGGAAACTGATGTGTTTACTTTTTTTAAGAAATATATATTTTAGTGGTTGATGGACCTTTATTTATATGTAGTACTGCGAATCGAGCCCAGGGCCTCACACATGCTAGGCAAGCGCTCCACCACTGAGCCATGACCCCCCCAGCCCCATGTTTCCTTTTTCACATGAAAAAAAATTTTTTTAAACATTAATTTTTAGTTGTAGTTGGACACAATACCTTTATTTCACTTATTTATTGTTATGTGGTGCTGAGGATCAACCCAGGGCCTCGTACGTACCAGGCGAACACTCCCAGCCCACATGAAAAATTTTTAATTAATCTTTTCCAATATCATGAAATAGTCAGGGTCTGATTTCCATTTTTCATCTTCATAGTTTGTTTGGATCAGGAACAGTGAAAATTAACACAATGTGACTTTTTTTTTTCTTTTGACCTTTTAAGTCTCTTTTAAATTATTTGTTAGGAAAACGGTCAGTTATCCCAGAGATTCCCATAGTCTGGATTTTGCTGGTTGTGTCCCTGAGGTATCATTTAACATGTTCCTCTGTTCCTTGTATTTCCTGTGAATTGCACGTTGGATCTGAGGCTAGATCAGATGCAGGTTGGCGTTTTTGTTTCTCTGGCAAGGCTGCAGGAAGGAGGGTGTTCTCCATCAGGAGGCCCTGGCCTGTGTGCCTCTCTTTGTGATGCTCTTGGTGCTCCAGAGGTTCAACGAGAATAGACAGCTGCAGTATTCGCCTTTGCACAGTAACTGGATGCCAATGAGGCACTTCCTGTCTTCACTGTTGGATACCCAGCCTTACAGTGCATTCAAGAGAGGACCAGATTTAACCTACATATGGATCTGAAATAGACTTTAGTTTTAATCAGCATTCTCAAGGTTCCCATTTCACAAGGGTACAGAGTAGGAAATCTCCTACCTGATCCCAGACACTTCCCGCCTCTCCTCAAGTCAATCAGTGTCACCAGTTTCCTAAATGACCTTCCTTAACCAGGTGCAGTGACATATGCCTGTAGTACTGGCACTCCTGAGGCTGATGTGGGGTCGGGGGGAATCTCTTGAGCCCAAGAGTTCAAGACCAACCTGGGCAACATAGAAAGACTCTGTCCAAAAAAAAAAAAAAAATTCCTATGTGACCTTTCAAGGTTCTTCTATACAAGCAAATATAGCAAGTCTCTCAGTCCCATCTCTCTCTCTCTTTCTTCCTGCCCCCCCCCCCTTTTTGGGTAAATACTATGGGTATATGGGTAGAGTTTCATCTTTGCAGTTCCTTTTTTAAATTTTTTATTTGTTTTAATTAGTTATACATGACAGTAGAAAACACTTATATACTTTGATATATCATACTTAGATGGGGTATAATTTCTCATTTTTCTGATTATATATATTATAGAATCACATTGGTCATACAGTCACATACATACATAAAGTAATGATGTCTGTTTCATTCTACTATCTTTCTTATCCTCACATCCCCTGCCTTCCCCTCCTTTCACTTCCCTCCACCTAATCTAACATAACGCTATTCTTTCAGTCAGTTCCTTTTTTTTCATAAATTTTTTTTAGTTGTAGGTGGACACGATACCTTTATTTAATTTATTTATTTTTATGTGGTGCTGGGGACCAAACCCAGGGCTTCACACATGCAAGGCGAGTGCTCTACCACTGAGCCACAACTCCAGCCCCATCTTTGCAGTTCTTGAAGATACTTTCTTCACCTACTAGTTACTACTGGGAGATGGCTCCATATCAGTCTAGGAAGAGGTTCCCCATTGGTTTTCCTTGGCTGCAAAGTAGGCCACTGAATGGATATACCATCATCTATTTAATAACACTCCTTTTTTTTAATATTTATTTTTTTCAGTTGTAGTTGGACACAATACCTTTATTTTATTTATTTATTTTTATGTGGTGCTGAGGATTGAACCCAGGGCCTCACATGTGCTAGGCAGTTGCTCTGCCTCTGAGCCACAACCCCAGCCCAGCACTCCTCTTTTGATGGATACTTAGATTGTCACCAGTACTTTTTTTTTTTTTTTTGGTACTGGGGATTAAATCCAGGAGTACTGTACTACTGAGCTACATCCCTAGTCCTTTTTATTTTTTATTTTGAGATAGAGTCTTGCTAAGTTGCAGAGACTGGCCTTGAACCTGATCTTCTTGCCTTAGCCTCCCGAGTCACTGGGATTACAGGTGTGCACCACTGTGCCTGGCGGGAGTTTTACAGGGGCAGGCAGTACAGCACACAGTGCACATGGGTCACCCCTCGTGCTGGATGTCTGGGTGTGCAGGGTGCATTCCTAGTGGAGCTGGAAGGCAAAGTGCTTATATATTCATGATTTTCTGAGCTCTCCTAGTTGGTCTCCATTGTAGTTATACCCATTTACCCTCCTACCAGCCGTTTGGAGGAGGGCCTGGTTCCCCGCAGCCTCACCCACACTGGGCCTTATGTAACATTTTTTTTTTAATCAAGCTGATAGTGACAAGTGACATCTCAGTGTGGTTTTAATTTGCATTTGGTAGTCCCCTGCATCCCATCCCCATCCTGTGCTCTCCTCAGGGACCTGCGGCAGCTGGGAGGGGAGCTGGCCCGGACATCTCGGGCTATCCAAGAGGTGGGCCTGGGGCTGAGTGCCAGCCTGAAGCTGGCAGAGAGCCGGGCCCAGGCGGCCCAGGAGAAGCAGGTGCTGCTGCAGGCCCAGCTGGAGGAGCAGCTGCAGGCCAAGGTGCTCCGAGAGAAGGACCTGTCCCAGCTGCAGGTGCAGAGCGACCTGGACAAGGCTGAACTCAGTGCTAGGTGGGTGATGATGACACTGTTCAAGTTCAGCTTCCCCACAGAGGGGCACCTAGAGACTCGGGGAGAGGGAGTGTCTGTTCCACGCAACAGACCCTATTTCTTCTTGGGCTCAGCCAGGCTTCCCAGGTCCCTGTGTGGGACTCAGAGGGCTCTTTCCCAGGGCACATCATGAGCAGTTCGACCTGTGAGGACGAGACCCATGCCCCTAACTTCTGCCTCCTGGACAAAGCCCAGGGTGCTTTCCAAAGAGACACGACAGTGGTGACTTCAGTCCCATTTTATAGGTGCAAAGTCTGAAGCCCAGAAGGAAGAGTGACCTGCCCAGGGTCACACAGCTAGGGAAGTGGATTTTAGTGGCTCTGCTCAGGTTTGGGGAAACACAAAAGACCCAGAAGCCAGTGGGTTTGAGGAGAAATTGGGGCAGGTCCCTCATTTACTTCTGTTGCTTCCCTACCTTAAGAGTGACAGAGTTGGCCCTGGCCATGGAGCGCCTTCAGAACCAGAATCTGGAGAAGGATCAGGTCAACAAGGCCCTCACTGAGAAGCTGGAGGCCCTGGTGAGTTATGGTGGGTAGATGAGGGCCCGACCAGATCCATGGACCCAGGCTTAGGGCTGGGCTACTCAGACATGCTACTCACCCCCACATCATGTGCCAGGATTAGGGTAAGAACAGTCACCTTCTGTATCCCTTTCCACACTCCCAGCGGCCCTGCCTCATGATCCCCACTGCACAGAGTGTTCTCCAACCCAGTAAGCAGGGAAGTAGGACTCCAACTCCTGCCTGAGCTCCCAGAGGAGCATGGTTGCCTCCTACCAGAGGGATCCTCCCTAGGGCACTGCCTGGATTGGTCACCTTCTGTGTGGGGCTGAGTCTGGCTCTCCTCCAGGAGACTGGGACAGGACACTGCCTCTCCGGGCCTCTGAGGGCAGTGGGTTCTGCTAGCTGGTCTATGGATAGCCATAGAGGCCACCTGATAGGTGGTGGTCCGGGGAGGGAGTAGAAGGTAGAGTTTCACACTAGGGCACAGCCCCTGACTGCTCTTTGTCTCACTCCAGGAGTCTCTGCGGCTACAGGAGCAGGCGACCCTGGAGTTGGAGGACACAGAAGGGCTCCAGCAGACCCTGAGGGACCTGGCACAGGTGCATGAAGGGAGCTCTGGGAAGGTCTGGCAAGCAGGCCTGGGCATCTGGCCGCGCCCTCTGGTGGCCTTTGGCAGAACTAAAGCGAGTGATGGCCCTGGGTACCCCAGTTAGCTCACCTCGCCCCTGCGCTGGGAGTTCCCAGTCTCAGGCCATCTGTGCGAACCGATGAATGGTGTCTTTGCAGTAAATGAGCCTTGCGGGAGAGCTGTGGGCTGAGCGCCCGTGGGGGAGGTGGACCCCAAGGCTTCCCGTAGGGACTTCGTGAGGCTGCCTGGCCTGGGCCTGGCGCGGCCAACCCCTGGGCTCCTGCTCCCACCTTCCCCACCCCAGGCCGTCCTGTCAGACACAGAGAGCGGTGTCCAGCTAAGTGGCTCGGAGCGCACAGCAGACACCTTGGACGGCAGCCTGCGGGGTCTCTCGGGCCAGCGGACCCCGTCCCCGCCACGGCGTTCCTCGCCCAGCCGCGGCCGTTCCCCTCGCCGAGGCCCGTCCCCGGCCTGCTCTGACTCCTCCACGCTTGCTTTGATCCATTCGGCCTTGCACAAGAGGCAGCTGCAGGTTCAGGTAGGAAGGGGCCTGAGCATCCCTAGCCACAGCCAGGTACCCAGCCAAGCTCCTGGGGGAGGGGCTTGGGTGCCCAGGGGGCGGGGCCACAGCCTGGGGCGGGACCATAGGCCTGGGGGCGGGGCCAGTAAGCAGACCTGGGAGTCCAGGTGTCAAGGAGATGTCTGAGAGCTCTGGGGCAGAATTGGAGCCCACAGTGGGATGAAGTGGGGTGAAGCCTGGGAAGGGAGGAGGTGGGGGCAGAGCCAGAGTCCTGGGGGAGCCAGGACCCTGGGAGAAGGAGTCTGCTGGGACGGGAGGAGCTTGGAAGCGAGAGGTTCCGAGGGTGGAACCAGGGGGCCAGAGGGAGGAGCCTTGCGGGTGGAGTCTGAAACTAGCAGAGGAAAGAGTGGTCTCGGCATTGTCAACTTCATGGGGACCTAGATTGGAGTTGCTTGGGACTCCGGGGAGGTGAGGACTTAGAATGGTGAGGCCACAGAGGAGGGGAGTGGAATCCCAGTCCCAGGGGCAGAGGCCCCCTCTCCTGCTGCAGGCCAGGCCCCGGCCTAGTCCCGTCCCACTGTAGCCTGGTGTGCTTCCCCGGAACCAGCAGAGTAAGTAGGCTCCCCAGACTCAGTGACCCCCATGCCCCAGGACATGCGTGGTCGCTATGAGGCGAGCCAGGACCTGATGTGCACCCTGCGGAAGCAGCTTAGTGACAGCGAGGGTGAGCGGCGTGCCCTAGAGGAGCAGCTGCAGCGCCTGCGGGATAAGATGGATGGGGCTGCTCAGGCCCAAGAGGATGCCCAGCGTGAAGCCCAGCGTCTGCGGAGCACCAATGAACTCCTGAGCAGGTGCCTGGAATGTCTGAGGTGGAGGAGGATAAAGGATAAATCAGTGTCGGAGCCTAAGGCCAGCCCTAATCTTTAAATAGGTGGTTCTGCACCAATAGGTCACCACTAGCCACATGTGTCTATTCAATTTTTAGATCAATTAAAGTTTTACCAAACAGGCTGGGGATGTAGCTCAGTGGTAGAGCTGCTGCTTCAGGACCTGAGTTCAGTTCCCAGCACTGCTGCACGCACACACGAAAGTTAAAATTCACTTCTCAGTTGCATCAGCCACATTTCAAGTGCTCTAGATCTACACATAAGCCACATTTCAAGTGCTCTAGATGTAGAACATCTCCCTCTTCTCAGAAAATTCTTTTTTTTTTTTGGTATTAGGGACTGAACTCAGGATAATTTACCACTAGCCCCCCCCCACTTTTAAATGATCTTTTTAAAAATATATTTATTTTTTAGTTGTAGTTGGACACAATACCTTAATTTTTTATTTATTAATTTTTATGTGGTGCTGAGGATCGAACCCAGAGCCTTGCATATACGAGGCGAGCACTCTACCACTGAGCCATAATCCTAGCCCCCCCACTTTTAAAAAATATTTTTAGTTGTAGTTGGACACAATAACTTTATTTATTTAATTAATTTTTTTATGAGGTGCTGAGGATCAAACCCAGCGCCTCACGTGTGCTTGGTGAGCACTCTACTACTGAACACAACCCCAGCCCCAACCATTAGCTCCTTTTATTTTCTACTCGGAGACAATCTCATTAAGTTGCTGAGGGTCTCACTAAGCTGCTGAGGCTAACTACAAACTTGGGATTATAGGTGTGCACCAGTGTGCCCAGCTTCTCAGGGAAATCTTGACAATGTTGTTTTGAGACTGTTTCCTAGAGGGCTTTTTTTTTTTTTGTACTGTAGATTGAATCTGACTGCACCTTTTTATTTTTTTATTTTTTATTTATTTATTTTTTTTAGAGAGAGAAAGAGGGAATTTTAATATTTATTTTTTAGTTCTCGGCAGACACAACACCTTTGTTTGTATGTGATGCTGAGGATCGAACCCAGGTCGCACGCATGCCAGGCGAGCGTGCTACCGCTTGAGCCACATCCCCAACCCCTATTTTGTTTTATTTTTAAAAAATATTTTTTAGATATAGGTTGTCACAGAGTCTTTATTTTACTTTATATGGTGCTGAGGATCGAACTCAGTGTCTCACACATGCTAGGCAAGCGCTGTACCTCTAAGCCACAACATCAGCCCTTGTTTTTGATTTTGAGACAGATTCTCACTAAGTTGCTTAGGGCCTTGCTAAATTGCCCTCGAATTTGTGATACTCCTGCCTCAGCCTCCCTACTCACTGGGATTACAGGCATGTGCTACCATACTTGGCTTCCTGGAGATTTGCTTTTTTGGTATTGGGGATTGAACCCAGAAGCACAAAACCACTGAGCCACATTTCGAGCCCTATTTTATATTTTATTTAGAGACAGGGTCTTCCCAAGTTGGTCAGCGCCTCACCATTGCTGAGTATGGCTTTGAATTTGCAATCCTCCTATCTCAGCCTCTGAGCCACTGGGATTATAGGCCTGCACCACTGCGCCTGGCTTATTTTTGTGACTAAGGCCTTGCTCAGTTACTTAGGGCTTTGCTGAATTGCTGAGACTGGCTTTGAACTTGGCGATCCTCCTGCCTCTGCCTCCCGAACTGCTGGGACTACATGCATGCGTGTGCCACTGCACCCAGTGTCCTAGAGTTGTTGTTGTTGTTGTTTTTTTAAGATGGACACAATATCTTTATTTATTTGTTTATTTTTATATGGTGCCGGGGATCGAACCCAGTGCCTCACGCATGCTAGGCAAGTGCTCTACCACTAAGCCACAACCTGGCCCCCCCTCTTTTTTTGGTAGTTATAGATGGACAGCGTGCCTTTATTTTATTTGTTTATTTATATGCAGTGCTAAGGATCAAACCCAGTGCCTCACACATGCTAGGCAAGCTCTCTGCCACTGAGTCACAACCCCAGCCTGTTCCTAGAGATTTTTAAGAAAAGAAATTATCTACCTCTTAGCTACATGGTTATTTTTATTTTATCTTCCTAATTAGAAGTGTTTAACAAAAAATGTGAAGGATGAGGGGAAATCGAAAGGGGGGACCCTCACAGCCTCACCTGCCCCTCTGAACCCCTAGTAGGGTATTGGTTTTGTTTCTATTGTGTTTCCTGGCAGTGAGGGGGCAGAGTAGGGGCACTTGTAGACCCACCATGTTTGCCAAGTGCTTCATGTATATCATCTCAGTCTTTCTGTCAGACTCCTGCAGTTTGGAACTCACTGTATGGAGATGAGAGACTTGCCCAACCTCACAAAGCAGGTGTGGCCCGAGGGGGCAGGGTAGAATTAGAATTCAGGCCCATTGGGTGGCCACCCATGATTTCCCTGCCTGGGAACGAGATGGCTTTTTAAGTAGTGGTGATCAGCAAGCAGCCCGTTTTGTATTCTGCTATTTTTACTTATGTCATGTCATAAGCTTTTTCCCACCCACTGCCAGCATTAGTTTCTAGCATATTTGGGGACTGCAACTTCGAGGGAAGAGAGGGAAGCCCTAAGCCTGAGCCAGAAACCCCAGCTGGCTTGAAAGAAGGTGTTACAATCAGCCCCTGCCCCCTACTTGTGACTATTAGAGTTGGGGAAAATGGCTGCTCCCTGCAAGCTTTTGGGATTCCCAGTGGCAGTCACATGCCCCCCTGCTGTGTCTGCCAGGTACTGCTGTTCTGTGTAGCGGGAAGTTGATCTGGACAGGTGCAGCTCTTTGGGGCTTGCTAGGATTGTGGAGGAGGGGTATCGTGGGGGCCTTTTGTGTCTGTGTGGCTTAGCAGAACTGGCTGCCAAATTGCCAGCTTACTCCTGGCCTTTTGCACTTGGTGGGGGGACTCACAGGTAATGCAGCACCTTCTTCCATCCCACTAGGCCTTCAAGTGGGCAGGCTGGGGGAAGAAAGCCAGGCTCCTGCTGGGAGGTGTGGGTGAGCTGAATCAGCCACGGAAGCATCAGAACAGGCTTCCTGGAGTGAGAGGCCTGGGAGGACCTAGGACGCAGCTCCTGGGCAGTGGCCAGCCTGGCTTCTTTGCGGGGAGAGCAGCCATAACAGCGCCCGCTGCTCCACTATCCCTTGTCCTGCAGGGAGAAGGGCAGCTTGGCCCACAACCTGCAGGCGGCCCAAGAGCAGGCCGAGGGACTGCGGCAGGAACTGGAGAAGCTGCAGGCTGCCCAGGAGGAGCTGCGGCGCCAGCGGGACCGGCTGGAGGAAGAGCAGGAGGATGCGGTTCAGGATGGCGCCAGGGCACAAAGGGAGCTTGAGCGCAGGTGGGCAGCTCCTCACCTCTCCCCTCACCTCTCCGCCAGCTCCCAGAGGCCTCCCAGGGAGCCTCCCGCTTTCACTGCAAGCCTCTGGGCACCATCTCCGTCCTGAGCCTCCTGCCACCTGGAGGAGGCCTCTGGCGTTGCACTGGGCCTTGTCTTCTACCCCACTTCTACCTGGGCCAATGGACCCCTCCTTAGGAGGCCAGGAGGCTTCTTGCTGCTGGGAGGTCACCATTTTGATGCCAAACTTAGTGCGGATACTTGATGGGCATAGTGCACTAGAGCCTGGCCCTCCTGGGCTCAAGCAGTCCTCCTGCCTCAGCCTCCTGAGGACAATAGGTCTGTTCCCTTGAGCCCAGCTAACCAGCCCCACTTGGGGAAAGAGACTCAGGGAGGTGAGTCACTTACCTAGCATCAGAGAACTGGTAGGAGGCAGAGTTTGAATTATAAGAACTATAACAATTAAAATTAAAATAACTATTAATAATATTCTTATTAAAAAATTTAAAGGCTGGGGTTGTGGTTCAGTGGTAGAGCGCTTGCTTAGCATGTGAGGCACTGGGTTTGATCCCCGGCACCACGTAAAAATAAAAACAAAGGTATTGTGTGCATCTACAACTAAAAAAAAAAAAATGCCAATGCACCAAGGTTCTCTTGTGTAACTCTCATTATAAGTCTGTGATGTAGAAGGTATTGTCTGCATTTTGTGGACATTGAAGCTGAGTCAGAGAGATCATGAAACTTGTCCCAGGGTACATGGTGAAAGAGTTGGGATTTGAGCCTGCACTGTGTGGGTCTCTAAGACACAGGTTATGACGACGTTTAGTGCACCGTAGGAGTGGATGTTGTTCTTGCTTGGGAAGATGTGTCAAGCAGTATTTTAAGCATTTCCTGTAGAGTAATACACATATTCTCATAATGACTTCTTAAGGCAGGTAACACCCCATTTTGCAGATGTGGAAACTGATGCTCAGAGTCAGGGAGTTAACAGGCAGGGGGTTGGCTGTCCTTGTGGGTAAGGCTCTTGCCCAGCATCCTGCTGGTTGCAGGTGGCCAGGACAGAGAAGTGACATGAGGCACCTGCCTGTCTTCTGTCCCACAGCCATAGACAGCTAGAGCAGCTGGAAGTGAAGCGCTCAGGGCTGGCGAAGGAGCTGGTGGATGTGAGGGAGGCACTGAGCTGCGCCACGCTGCAGCGGGACATGCTGCAGGCCGAGAAGGCAGAGGTGGCTGAGGCGCTGACCAAGGTGGGTCCCCATTTACCACACAACTACACACCTACCTCTGACCCTAGGTCCCAGGTCTTCCCAGTCTGGCCACAGACTGATCCTTGGCTGACATCGGAGCCTAGTCACAGACTGACCCCTCCCTGTGGACCAGGCTGACTTTTCTTAGTGCCATATTCCTGCTTTTCCAGATGCTCCCAGGCAGTATCTAGACCGAGGTCCTGTGTCTGTGGGAGGTGGGGCCGTGGTCCAGAAAGTTTTCAGTGGGAACCTGCCCCATTCCCCTCACCCTGGACCCTGAGAGGTACCATCCTTAGGCCTCACTCAGGGGAAGCCCTGAGCCTTGCCCTGCTGCAGCATCGCCTGGGTTCTCTTTCCCTCCAGCTCTGCAGCATGCAGCTTCTTAATGTCCTCACAGGCTGCAGCCTCCTCCCCGAGCAGGGAATTTCCTGACTTATCTTCCTACACCATCCCGAAGTCCGTCTCTGCGCCTGTCCCTGTCTCTTCCCACCCACCCGTCTCTCTCCACCTGACTGGCTCTGACACATGGTCCCCTCCCTGTAGGCTGAGGCTGGCCGCGTGGAGCTCGAGCTGTCCATGACCAAGCTGAGGGCAGAGGAGGCTTCTCTGCGGGACTCCTTGTCCAAGCTAAGTGCCCTCAACGAGAGCCTCGCCCAGGACAAGCTGGGGCTGAACCACCTTGTCGCCCAGGTACATCGTGTCATGGGCCCAGAGGCCTGGTCCACCTGTCCTCCCCATCGGGGAGACCCCACTGAGGTGTCCCGGGCCCCCACACCCTGCACCCGTCTGTTTTGGTCTTTGCCGCTCCTGTCTCTACTGTCTGTCTCTACTCTGTCTTCTCTCTCCTGGTGTCTCAGGAGGGGTCCTTCTTCATTCTCCCTCGTCAGTGTCCACACCCTGCCCCTTTCCCCAGGCCCTCTCCTGGGCTGATCAGTGGGTGAGTGGAGGAGCATCCCTGTCCTGGGAGGAACCCTTGCTTACTGTCCCACCACACTCACCCCTGCAGCTGGAGGAGGAAAAGGTGGCCTTGCTGGGCCGGCAGCGTCAGGCAGAGCAGGAGGCCACCTTGGCTCTGGAGGAGCAGCAGAGGCTGGAGCAGCTGCGGCTGGAGCACGAGGTGGAGCGGCAGGGCCTGGAGGGCGCCCTGCACGCCGCCGAGCAGGCCCGGGAAGCCCTGGAGCAGCAGCTGCCTGAGCTGCGCAGCGAACGCAGCGGGCTGCAGGAACAGCTGGCTCAGGTGGGCCAAGCAGAGGGGAACGGGCCTGGCCTGGGAACCTGCTTCTGAGTGAGCTGCCCCACTTCCCTGTGCCTCAGTCACCCCGTCAGTAACTCGGGGCTGAGAGTTCTTGTCAAGAGTGTCATGAACAATAGCCGAGGAAACTCAAGGCCCAGCAGAGGGGCCTGCTGTGGGCTCTTGGCACAGGTGCAGCACATGCTGGTGTGGAGAGGCTCGAGGGATCAGAATCAGACGTTTTGGGATGTCACAGCTGCAAGGGACCCTAGGGCTTCAGGGACCTAGGAACTTAATGTCCTGGAGTGAGTCCGGTTCCTGGAGGGGCATCTGGAGGAGGCGAAAGGGGAGCCGGAAGCGGCTTCCGCCCTCCACTCCAGCCAGCAGAGCAGCTCCCCTGGTCGGTTTTATATATTCAGCTGCTCCGCAAGTTTTGAGGTGAGGAAGGGTTGTCGCCCCTCACTCCCAGAGCTGAGTGAGGGCCTTGTTTTTGCACACATGTGCGCTGTGTGTCTAGAAAAGGCTGGAGTGCCCAGTGCAGACCACACAGCAGGGCAGAGCCTGGGCTCAACCCTGGGCCTCCTGCCCGCCGGGGGGAGCTGGGTCAGACCCCGAGTTGAGGTGCTATGTGATGAACGGGTCGGGGGTTCTGGAAGTGGTGCTCACAGTCCCTGGTGGGGGCCAGCTCTCCCGGCAGCTGAGCGGGCGGGAGCAGGAGCTGGAGCAGGCCCGGCGGGAGTCCCAACGGCAGGTGGAGGCCCTGGAGCGAGTGGCCCGGGAGAAGGAGGCGCTGGCCAAGGAGCGGGCAGGCCTGGCTGTGCAGCTGGCAGCGGCGGAGCGCGATTGCCAGGCCCTGTCAGAGGAGGCCACTCGCCTGCGGTAAGGTCTTGGGCTCTGCCCAGCACCCCCAGGGCCTGGCGTTGGCCCACAGGGGCCGTTACTTAGGAGCATGGCTTGCCAACATGCCCTTGCTGTGGCTCAGCCTTCCCCAGGGGAGCGTGGCCCAGCTAGGCAGGGAGGCTGGCACTGGGCCCCAGGCTGGGCACGCCCTGAGAGCCAGTTACCTGGGCTGTTGAGGCCGTGGCTCGTGGCCTCAGGGGCTTGTGTACTGCAGCGTGGAGAAGGCAGCCCTGGAGAACAGCCTGTTCGAGGTGCAGACGCAGCTGGCCCAGCTTGAGGCGCGCCGGGGGCAGCTAGAAGCGGATGGACAGGCCCTGTTGCTGGCCAAGGAGACCCTGACTGGTACGAGGGGACAGGGACAGGGACACCAGGTTCTGGGATTCCCCCAGGCAGGCAGCATTGACCTAAGAGGTTTCAGCTTCCCTGGAGCAGCCCCTCCCTCTCTGGGTCCCAGATTCCTGCTCTGGCTAAACCCTTGCCAGGATGAGAGGCACAGGTGGCCTGACTCAGCAGGAGCTGCTGTGGCTTTGCTGTCCTCTGGGCGGCAAGAGACTTCTGAGTTCTCCTGCAGAGCCAATGGCTGCTTTTCCCAGGACACTCGACACTTCCTGTGTGTCCCCATTTTCTCTGGTGCATGGCTCTTCCTGCGCTCTAAACATCAACGCGGCACTTACCTGGGTTATGGAAAATGACTTCCTGTTTACGTCCACCTAAGCAGACAGAACCAGCAAGGGAAATGCTGGTGGGTTTCCCACCAGGAGATGGTGTTTGGGTGGTCCACAGAAGGACACACCATCGCATTGTCACCTGTGTGAGTGCTGATAGTTGACACTTGACTAAGAATGCTTATATCATTAGGCAGTAAAAAGGATGCTTTGTGTGGAGCTGGACAGCATTGAGAAATTACTGATCTCTCTATCTGTTTCCTCCTCTGTGAATGAGGATAAAAATAAAAATAAACTAGGTATGTTATGTAGGTGAATTGAAACTGGGATATAACCCAGGTGCCTGATTGTGGTGTGCTCAGTCAATAACAGGGTGGTATAGCCAGGTGCTGTGACCGTGCCTGCAATCCCAGCAACTTGGGAGGCTGAGGCAAGAAGATAGCAAGTTCAAGGCCAACCTGGGCAACTTATTGAGACCCAAAATTAAAACGAAACGGGCTGGGAGTGTGGGCTTAGCATGCAGGAAGCTACGGGTTTTATCGCCAATAACCATACGTGCAGCCCAAACGGGAGTGGTTATATTTGACATCCTTCCCGTTTGTGGGGGCCCCCCTTTTGTGATATTCTAGGTAGTCAGACAGAGCCAGTGGGCCAATACAGCAGATGGGAAAACTGAGGTCCAGAGAGAATGAGCCACTTCTCCAAGGGAACCGGCCCAGATGCCAGATGAATCCTCTCCCCTCCGGGTTCTACCATCTGGCTCACCTGGCTGCAGTTTGCTGGCTTGAGGGAAGGTTTTGCCCTAACCTTGTCTGTATCCACCCTCCCTCTTGAGCAGGTGAGCTGGCAGGCCTGAGGCAGCAGATGATAACTGCAGAAGAGAAAGCAGCTCTGGACAAGGAGCTAATGGCCCAGAAGCTGGTGCAGGCGGAGCGGGAGGCCCAGGCCTCTTTGCGGGAGGAACGGGCAGCCCACGAGGAGGACTTGCAGCGACTCCAGCGTGAGAAGGTATGAGCACCTTGTAGGGACGGTTAGGGCTCTGAGCCATTGTCTCCTCTCTACCCACAGAGTCCTCTTTCTTGCTCTGCCTCATGTCCACATCTGAAGAACAGGACTTCATTTCTACTGTGGAAGCCCTAGGGGCAGCTAGTTGGGAAGATCCATGGGGGTAGCGTGTCCTTATCAAATATGCAGATTCCCAGACCCCAGATTTAGTTACCTCCCTGGTGATTCTGATGCAGGGGGTCCATGATCACATTGAAGAAAGGCCAACATTGCGGGGCATGTAATCCCAACAGTGCAGGAGGCTGAGGTAGGAGGATCTCGTATTCAAAGCCAGTGTTGGCACCTTAAGGAGGCCCTAAGCAACGCAGCAAGATCCTGTTTCTAAATAAAATCAAAAAAAGGGTTGGGGATGTGGCTAGTGGTTAAGTACCCCTGGGTTCAATCTCCAGTGTCCCAAAAGGCCAACATGATATATACAGCAGAAAAGTACTTTTCATTTGTGATACACTATTTGCATATGAAGGATCACTGGCACCTGAACATATAAGAAAGGGAAGGGGGCAGAATGAGGAGTTCCTGAGTTTGAATTTGATCTTAGTCACACACTGGTGATGCTAAGGTCTCTGTGCCTTCATTTCCTATCAGTAGAAATGGCGATAGAAGTATGAGGTACTAGGAGGAGGAAGTGAGGTGATCCATATAGAGGGATTAGGATGGTGACTGGCACTTAATCAATGCTTTACAAATTATTATTACTGATATTGGGGTACTCTTCAGAGCAGCTCTCAAGACAGATGCCCTGAGCCACCCAGCCTGGATGTCTGATTCTGACAGTGTCAGGCTGCTGCTGTGAGGGTCACCCTGGGTCTCAGTGGATTTGGGTGGATATCAGCACCCCTCCCAGCGGGTAGCAGCATAACACTTGAAGAAGGCTGTCCAGCTTCTCTCAGCATCCAGGGGCCAGTGCTGGGGCCAGGCACCTGTCCTCAGCACCCTGAAATGGGCTGTCCTTCACTTATGAGCTCTTCCTGGCCCCCCACCTCCTCCCTGGGGGGCCAGACTCCTACGATCCCCTTATGCCCCACCCCTTGCTTTGCCCCCACTGTCCTCAAGTTCCCTGCAACCCCCCTGGCCTGGCCCAGCCTGGCTGCTGGGTGGGAAGCATGGCTCTGGCCCCTTGCCCACTGGCGCCCCTTGGTTCCCAGCACATCCTGCTTGCTGTGTCCCGGGCCTTGGTGGCTGTGTTCCTGGGCTCGCTCTCTTTTCTCTCCTTGCCTGGCTGGCTGCTCTTCCACCCTCCTCCGGAGAATGTTCTATGACATATCTAGGGCTGCTCCTGCTCCCTGAGGCTCTCACAGCCCTGGCCTGTGCCTTTATTTCCCTTATCGCCTGTCTTGGTGAAAAGGTCACCTGCCCTGTCCCAGCTTTGGGAACAGATGGCCTTTTCTGCTTTGATGTGAATGAGGGGCTGCTTGGGCCCCTTCTGGTGGGTCTCATGTGCTGGCCTTGGCCCCCCAGGAGGCCGCATGGCGCGAGCTGCAGGCGGAGCGGGCCCAGCTGCAGGGCCAGCTGCAGCGGGAGCGGGAGGAGCTGCTGGCCCGGCTGGAGGCCGAGAAGGAGGAGCTGAGCGAAGAGATAGCTGCCCTGCAGCAGGAGCGCGACGAGGGCTTGCTCCTGGCCGAGAGCGAGAAGCAGCAGGTGCGTGAGTTCTGGTGTGGCCTGCACGGCTCCCCAGGCCCCGTTCCACAGCTGGTCCCCACGTGGCCACCTCGCAGTCAGGAGGCTGAAGCAGGCTGCTTCCCTCTCTGGGCCTCAGTTTCTTCACCTGCAGGTTGGGGAGGGGTGTGTGTGAAGCATCGCTGAACCCCATGCCTGGGAGCAGGTCATGACCCCTGGAAAGCTGTTCCTCATTCTCCCATCCGTCCCCCTACCCAGGCTGCCATGATGCCCATGGCAGCAGCTGACCCTCTCCCAGAGAACGAATTCCTGACTTTCTCATAATGTAAGACACAGGGCAGACTGTACCCATCTCTCCTCTTTGCCGGGGTCAGTCTCTTTACCTCTTTGAGCCTCAGTTTGCTCACCTATAAAAATGGGAACAATGAAAGACTTTGCCTCGGGGTGGTGGGTGAGTGAGGTCCGTGGATCAAGTTCATGTCCAGGGTTCTGCTGATGTTGATCCCTGTTGCAGGGCTGCAGAGGGGTGAGCAAGCACACAGGACTTGGGCCACTGAGCCCCGGTGGGCACATCACCCAGACAAAGTGGGGGAAGGTCCTCGGATGCCCCGAGGACCAGCCAGTCCCCAACCCTGTGTCCTTGCCTCTGCCCAGGCCTTGTCTCTGAAGGAGTCCGAGAAAACAGCACTGTCAGAGAAGCTGATGGGCACCCAGCACAGCCTGGCCGCCGTCTCCCTGGAGATGGAGCGGCAGAAGCGAGATGCGCGGAGCCGGCAGGAGCAGGACCGGGTAGGGCAGTCTAGCAGTGGCACCTTCTGAATAGGGAGGCATAGCTCCACCGGAGGAGGCCCTCGAGAGGGGAGGCTTGGCCTCCTTGTGGAGCTTCCAGGCTGTGGAGGTTCAGCCTTTCCTTCGGGACTCCTTATGTGAGGGATGGACACACAGCTGTGCCCTGCTGAGTCCCCTTGTTCAGGGGAGAGACCAGCTGTGCCAACAGCACTTACTAGGTGTCGTGGGGTGAGCAGGGGTCTGGAAGGCCAGCAGGAGGGGCTGTTTGGAGCTGAAAGTAGACAGTTCAGCCAGCAGACTGGGCGTCACACGGGTCAGGATGAGGGGACACTGCAGGACCAAGCCCTTCCGTCCTAGAGCACCATGCATGCCCTGACGTCTGAACTGAGGGACCTCCGGGCCCAGCTTGATGAGGCCACTGCTGCTCACGCCCAGGAGGTGAAGAGGCTGCAGGAGCAAGCCCATGACCTGGGCAGGCAGCGGGAGTCCTGCCAGCGTGAGGTGGGTCTCCCGCCCCCTAAATGCCACCATGTGCCTGCTGGGTGCCTGGTCCTGCGGGGCCAGAAGGCATTAGATGCTTGCCTGCATTCGAAGACAGATGGACAGCAAGCACCTGTTAAGCCCCTGTTTTGTGCTGGTGCAGCTTTGGGACTGAGAGAGATGAGTGGGGTCTCTGTCCTTTGGTCTCATCCACAGGACAGTCCTGACTAGGGATTATTTCAGCCCCAAACACTGCTGACTACAGCATGCCTGGCCCTAAATCATAACGCACAGCCCGAGGACTGGGCAGGTGCCCCTGGCTAAGGACATGGGTGTGGGCGAGCTCGAGGGGCCCTGACCCTTGCCCTGGGCTCACAGGCAGAGGAGCTTCGGACTCAGCTGCGGCTGCTGGAGGATGCCCGTGATGGGCTGCGGCGGGAGGTGTTGGAGGCACAGCGCAGGGTGCGGGATGCCCAGGAGGGCCGCGAGGCCCAGTGCCAGGAGGCCGGGGAGCTGCGGCGCAGCCTGAGTGAGGGTGCCAAGGAGCGCGAGGCCCTGCGGCGCTCCAATGAGGAGCTGCGGGCTGCAGTGAAGAAGGCTGAGAGCGAGCGCATCAGGTGGGTGTCAGGGGGGACCAGCTCTGAGTCCTTCGAAGCCCTGTCCTCTCACTGAATCTTGTCCTTGGAACCTAACTTCCCCCATGGCCACACACTGGTGGGGGTTCTTTGGCCCTAACCACAGACTGGCACAAGTCATTTTTGGTGGCTTTTCTATCTCAGATGAGGCACAGGTGGAGGCGGTAGGCAGGGTTGGGTCCAGACCCCACTGGCTGTCATCAAGGAGTTGCTGATGTACTTCTAGCCGAGGGCCTGGCCCAGCCCTGGAGGCTCAGGAGGGGCCATGTGGGCAGGCAGCACTTGGGACGCTCTGCGCCAGGGTCAGCCAGATCCACCCCAGGAATTATGGGGAGGGTGTTTGCGTAGAGCTGCAGAATGCACCTCTCCCAGCACCCAGGCAGCTCTGCCCTCGGCCCTCTGCCCTCTCTAGCCTGAAGCTTGCCAGCGATGACAAGGAGCAGAAGCTGGCACTCCTGGAGGAGGCTCGGGCAGCAGCGGCCAAGGAGGCCGGGGAGCTTCGTTCCGGGCTGCAGGAGGTGGAGCGTTCCCGGCTGGAGGCGCGGAGGGAGCTGCAGGAGCTCCGGCGGCAGGTACTCCCGCTCCCTGTCTCTTGCCGTGTGGCAGCACCCCTTTCTTCTCTGGATGTTAAAGCAGAGGCTTGAACTACAAGGCTTTTACCTGACCTTGGTATTAATGGACAAGCTTTGAGGACTCCTCACCCTGCGCAGAGGCGTGTGCTTGCAACCCCAGCAACTCAGAAGGCTGGAGGACGGCAAGTTCACAGCCGGCCTGGGCACCTTAGTGAGGCTGTGACTCAAAACAAAAAAAAGTGCCGGAGATGGGGCTCAGTGGGGGCACCCCTGGGTTCCATCCCGTCCCCCGTACAGGGGCGGGGGAATATGCATTTATTTATTCCTACATTCCCCACTTACCTGGCCACACGGGCTCTGTCAGCATGCTTAACGCCCTCTGCTCAGGTGAGTGCAGCTCAGAAATGAGCCCCCTAGGTTCCATTCCCAGTTCCAAGGACAAGAGGAGAGAGAAGTGGCCCTGGAGAGAGTGTGGACAGGTTGGCATGTGTGTCCGTCGAACTTTGTGGATGGACACTGAAACTTCATGTAATTTTCATGTGTCAAGAGCTGTTGTTCTTTTGACTTTTACTGACCAACGAACCTTTTTTAGCTATTTAAAAACTTAGCATCGGTCCTTGCTCACACCTGTGCAGAACAGGAGGCATCTGATTTTGACCTGTGGAGCTTGCTAACCCTGAATTGACGATCTCCCTACTCATCAGCAGCCGCAAGCACTGCACAGGCACCTACTGTGTACTAGGCGCTGCCTTTGCACTGTAGCTTCAAGGGCTCAGACTCTTTTGCTCTAGGAGCCTGAAAAAGCCTTATTCGGCTCCTAAGCGCCCCTCCAGAGAGAGCCCACAGTCCCCAAATACACGCAGAACCCAGAGGTGGGAACCATGCTGAGAGTCTCGTCCTCTCTGCCCAGCGCAGCCCTCCACCTCGGCCCCTCCTGAGTAGCCACAGGAGCCCCCGAAGGGAGCTGGCATTTGCATGCCAGGCTCATGCTGGGTGTTTGCAGGCTACAGCACCCTGTTACCCTCCTGGTGGCACTGTGGGGTGGGCAGGCATCACCCCCACCTGCCCCATGGGGAAGCAGGCTTAGAATACACCTGCACACTCCGCTTGTCTGAGTAGAGCCCGGGTCTGCTGCCTGCGGGCTGTGTGACCTTGGGCAAGTCTCTTCAGCTCTGCCTAAGCGCTCTCGCCCGTTGGGGGGATACTGTTGACACCCGCCCCGCAGGGCAGTGTAAGGAGTAATGAAGCAGTTAGGGTGAAGTGCTTGGAACAGGGCTGGACGTGCAAGCTCTCCAGAGGAGCTGCTCATTGTGACTGAGGGGAATGTGACCAGAGCTGTGGGCCCTGCCCTCTGGCATTCCTGGTTTGATGGGGGCTCAACCTTCCCTCCCCCTCTGGTACTCAAGAGAGGTAGTTGGGAAGCCAGGGACTAAATGGTGAGCTGCCCATGAGTGCCCTGTCTGATGTGGCGGAGCACAGTGAGGCGGTCCAGGGCAGGGGCTTGTGCTCCGTATGTGTCCATAGGCCAGTGTGCCTGGCCAGGACCAGGCAGGGCACGGGACAGTCCCAGCTGAGCTTCCTGTGGCTCTGCTCTCATAGATGAAGGTGCTGGACAGTGAGAACACCAGGCTGGCCCGGGAGCTGGCCGAGCTGCAGGGCCGCTTGGCCCTGGGTGAGCGAGCAGAGAAGGAGAGCCGGAGGGAGACCCTGGGCCTGCGACAGAGAATGCTAAAAGGCGAGGCCAGCCTAGAGGCCATGCGGCAGGAGGTGAGTAGGCAGATCCCCAGGCTGCCTTGGTGGGGACGGCTTGGGAGGTAGGGGGCCTGCCCTGTGCCACTCCAGTGGGAAACAGGTGGGCACTCCGATGCTAGAGTCACAGGTGACCACTCCCCAGGGCTTGTTCCTGACTCTAGTTCTTGAATTATAATAACAACCACCAAAATAGCTATGGGCGGAACATATGTGGGCACTGAAAGGTACTCTGGGCAGGGACTCCGGATATATAACCTTGATTCTCCCACAGCCGAATCAGGTAGGGACTGTTAGCGCCATTTCACAGAGACATTGAGGCTCAGACAGGTCAGGGGATCCACCCAAGATCACACAGCCACCTAGGCCTGACTCTGAAGCCAACGCTCTTCCCACTCTGCCTTTCCTGGTTGTATCCACTGCCAGTCTCCTGCCCTGGGTCTACTGTGTGATCCTGACTGAGTCATCTGATCTCTCTGGGCCAGAGGATGCTAGAGGGGCTCTACCACAGGCTCTGGCATCCAGGTAGCACTCGGAAGGGGGGTTTCCAGTGAAAGTGACAAATATGAGAGGGGAGGCCTTAGGACAACCCGCAGGCTGACTCAGTCTCTAAACCAGAGGATGGCTTGTGCCTGTGTGATCGTGCACCATCAGTAACTAAATTTTCTAGGACATTCCCTGCCATGGTGTGCAGATTTATTGATAAATTGTGTGCACTGAGACAATGTAGTCTAGTGACTAAGAGAACAGTCTTTGGTAGACTGGGTGGATCATGCCTTGTAATCCCATTTACTTGTGAGGCTGAGGCAGGAGGATCTCAAGTTTGAGGCCAACCTAAGCAACTTAGAGCTTATCTCAAAATAAAAAATAAAAAGGGCTGGGGGTGGGGCTCTGCAGCTGGAAGCCTAGCTTTGAATCCCCGCCTGCAGAACACTGGCTGTGGGGCCTTGGACAAGTAATTAGCTTCTTTGTGCTTCAATTTCATTCTCTATTAAATGAAGATGACTAATAAAACAATAAACTTTTTTTTGGGGGGGTGAGGGGAAAGCACTTCATGCTTAGCACTGGAGAATCCTACCTGTATGTTAGTCCTTCCTACTAATGAGCCGTGAACACCACCGGGCCTATACCTAGAAGGAAGAGAAAAAATCCATTTCCTCCTACACCCATGGATGCCCCTGCACTTTTCTGCTTGGGTAGAAAATACTAAAGGGAGAGTGTGGTCGCTTGGGGTGCTGGGCACCGGGCTGGGGTAGGCCTTACGACATGCCCCTCACTCCCTGGCCATCCCAGCTTCAGGGATCCCAGCGGAGGCTGCGGGAGCAGGAGGGCGAGTTCCGAGCCCGGGAGCGCGGCCTGCAGGGCTCCCTGGAGGAGGCGCGCAGTGCAGAGAAGAAGCAGCAGGACCTCGCCCGAGGCCTGGAGCTGAAGCTGGAGGCGTCGCGGGCCGAGGCCGCAGAGCTGGGGCTGCGTCTGAGTGCGGCTGAGGGCCGGGCGCAAGGCCTGGAGGCCGAGCTGTCCCGAGTGCAGGCGCAGCGGCGTGCTGCAGAGGCCCAGCTAGGCGGTCTGCGCTCCGCCCTGCGCCGGGGCCTGGGCCTCGGCCGCGGCCGCACCCCCAGCCCCAGCCCCGGCCAGTGGCCAGCTGCAGGCTCCCCGGCCCGCGATGCACCACCACCGGGAGGTGAGTGCCCAGCCTTTGGGGCACTAGGCTCCTCCCCCCCATTGCCCCACCCACGTGTGCAGTCCTAAGAGCCCGCCCTCCACCGGCCACGCCCCTCTCGAGGAGGAAAAGGTTCTCAATGCCCCAACTCCTTTTCTGTTCTTTGAGCGCCATCCTCTTAACGGTCTGTGCCCCCTTACCATCCCCTTCAGCCTCGCATCTCAGCTCCACACTCCACAGGAGCCTGTGACTCCGAAATCAGGATGGCACAGCCAGGCCTGACCCCCTTCCAGGATCTCTTTCATTCCTTTAGTCACTCCACTTAAGCACCTAGTATGTGACTTAAGCACCTAGTATGTGCCAAATACAGTTTAAGCACTAGGGATGCTGCAGGAAGCAAAACCCACCGGTGTGTCTGCCCTTAGGGAGCTTATAGTCTAGGCAGGGACAGCAGCAGTAAGCATGATAGACGAAATGTAGAATGTGTTCCTGGTGGTCAGGGCTGGAAATAGGCAAAAATGAAACAGGAGACATTGCCGATTGGAGCAGACACTGGAAAATAGCTCTGCAGTTCCTCAGAAAGCTGAAATTAGAATTACCATAAGACTCAGTACTTTGAGGACTCCTAGGTGTGCACCCAAAAGAATTGAAAACAGAGACCTGAACAGTTACTTGGACACTGAACTTCATTACAGAGTTGTTCACTATAACCAGAAGGTGGGGACATTCCAATTGTTCATCCACAAATACTTTTAAAAAATGTGGTATATTTATCCAATAGAATACTGTTCTGCCTTAAGGAATGACATTCTGATATGTGGCACCACACAGATAAACCTCAACAATGTTACACTAAAATAAGTTAGTCACAAAGGAACAAATAAAAAGGATCCTGGGGCATGGTGGTGCACACCTGTAATCGCAGCAACTTGGGAGGCTGAGGCTAGAAGATGGCAAGTTCAAAACCAGTCTCAGCAACTTCGTGAGACCTTATCTCAAAGTAAATAAAAAGGGAAGCCTGGGGACACAGCCCAGTTGGTAGAGTGCTTGCCTCTCATGCACAAGGCCCAGCACCACTAAAAATAAATAAATAAATAGGATTAGGGATGTGGCTTAGTGGTCAAGTGCCCTTCGGTTCAGTTCCCAGTACCAAATTAAATAAATAATAAAAAGGATCTGGAGTGTAGTTCAGTGGTAGAGCGTTTGTCTATCATGTGCCAGACCCTCGGTTAAATTACTAGCACTG